GTGAGTTCGGGAACGAGCTTACGCTCGATATCGTCGTGTAGAGTGTTCCTAAGCCATTCATTTGCCTCGTTGTGTCTCGAGCCAAGCACACGAACGAGGATAACACAAGATCAACAACAGAAAAACAGTAATACAAGAAGAGATTCTGATATAGAAGGAAAGCAACTTGGTTTCCTGTTTCATCTCCGTGATTTTTTCTTGTATGTTCTTTGAATAATGCTTTACTGACAAAATAATCATGTTAGAACAGATCAGGCAGAGCACTGGGAGAGCTCTTTATTCTTCTCCTTTACACAGAAAAAGCAGTAAAGTTGCGATTTTTTATTTAAAAAAACAAAATTAAATATTATGTTACTTTAGTTCATTTCATTGATTATCGGTTATACGAGCAAAATTATTTATGAAGTACAAGGGTAAGATTAGGGTGTTGATATGATGTGAGAACTGGCTAATCCAAACTATCCAAACCATAAGGACGAGCTAATTCAAATTACTCAAGTCATACCCAAACTATAAGAGGACGGGATAGGGCTAATTTAAACTACCCAAGTCATAAGGGCTTATCCAAACCATAAGAACGAGCTAATTCAAATTACTCAAGTCATACCCAAACCATAAGGACGGGTTAATTCAAACTACCCAAGTCATAATGCCTTGTGTTCATATGACGCGAGAACGTGGCTAATCCAAAGATAGGTTAGGCGTGGCTGAGTTAATCTTTAAGATTTGGATTGAATTAATTTTTGAAAAATTGAAAATTAGGTTGATTTTTTTTTGGTAAGTCAACCCACCAACTAAAAAATAGTGTTACAACTCAATTAAATTTGGGTTAAAAAATAAGGTTACAACTCCATCAAATTTGGGTTAGATTTATTTTAGTTGGGTTGAGTTGAATTTTTGAAAAAAATGAAAATTCAATCCGGCTTAACTGAATTTTTTATATCAAAATCAACTTGACCAACTCAAAAATAAGATTACAATCGAGAGGATTAGATTTTATTTTGGTTTGGGTTGAGTCGGTCAAAAATAGAGTTACAACCCATTCCCGTTAGATTTTATTTTCGTCTGAGTTAAGTTGAATTTTTGAAAAATTGACAGTTCAACCTATTTAGTAAGTTTGAATTTTTTTTTTTTAAGTCAAATAACTCAAAAATAGGTTAAAGCTCAACTCTACTCTTATTGTTATGAAAATTTTAATTTTAATAAAATTTTAGTTATTAATATGATATGGAGAGTATATAAGCTCAACTCAACTCAGGTCACCATCATCAACCCAACTAACCTGGATGAAGACCGCCGAAGATAAACTATTTGGAACAAACGACAAAGAAGGAACGGCAGCAATTTCGTCGTGAGTGTCGAGTTCGATGATGGTGGGATGGACGCCGATGGTGGTGAGAAGAGTCTTAATGATGTGGCACATGTTGCAGGAGGAGCGGCTGAATATGATCACTGGATTCTCCCTAATCAGTCGCCGGATCCGAGTTTCAAAGGATTCATTGACGTCGATGGACAAGGAGAAAGAGGACGTCGGAGATGGAGGGAGTTTGGAGGATACAGCATCGTTTGCGCAGCGGTGCATTGCTGGAGAATCGGGAGAGAGAGAGACAGTTATATTACAAAAGGAAAAGGGCAAGGGCGTTGAATCATTTTTATTTAAGAGGAGTTTTGATGAAATTAATGTACGGAAAAATATGTTAAACGTTATGGTTCATGTTTCCCAAGAAATTATCTATTGAACTCTAATTTGAATGGAACTGAAAACATATCTTTTACTACGATGAATAGCATGTTAGAGGAACCGTATTATCATGATTTTTGAGCATGGAAATAGTTGTTTTTTTGTATGTAAGAGCAAGTTAAACACTATGATGCATGTTTTTTAAGGAAGACATGAGTTGAGCTCCGATTCGAGCAAAACTGAAATCATAACTAGGTATCCATGTTTAGGTCGCTATGCTATGTCTCTATTTAGCGATTATACGGGAACAATTAAGGATTCGACAACTAGCCCTTAATCGTAAATCTGACATGATTGTCACGGGTCCAAATAATTATAGAATTGGCTTATGATATCCTATGACGTATAATTTGTACTCTGTAGGGATAATTAAGTAATTTTTCAGTTAGCTTTCCTTGAGTGAACCTATCACAAGCGACAGGTTCCCTGTTGTACCTTTGAGTTAGTCAATCTTAGGACTTTTGATTATTGGTCATGCATGTGAGTTAGTGGTTATATGGAGACGATTAGGGGTTCGCTGACTAACCTTTAATCGTAAACTTGACTTGATTGTCAAGGTTTTGGATAATAGTAGATTTAGCTTATGATGTATGATTTGTACTCTTACAGGGATTTTAGAAAGTTTGCCGGTTAACTTGAACCAGCAAGGGTCCACAATTGCACCTTAGAGTTGGTTGACCTTGAGACTTTTGATTATTGTTCATGCATGTGATTTAGCGGTTACATTGGGATGATTAAGTGTTTACCAACTAACCCTTAATCGTAAACCTAACTCGATTGTCAAAGGTTCGAGTAACTATAAAACTAGCCTATAATGCCTTATGCTGTATGATTGTATTCTGTGGGGACTACTAGAAGTTTGTCATTAGTTTTTTTTAAACCTGTCATGAGTGGCATGAGTTTCGGCCCTAAAATTGTAAACCTGTCATGATCCTAGCTCGACCAACCTATCCTAGCATGGTTTAGGGTTTAGGGTTTTTCAAAAGAAAAAAAGTAAAATTTTTATTGGGACACGTGGCAATAATCTTGGATTTTGATATTTTATTACAAAAGGCAAAAATATCTTTCAAGATGGTTTGGGCGCTGGAACAAACGAGAAGTTTCTAGAAGCAAGTGAATTGAGATATTTGTGATTCGGACACGTGGCAAAGAAGCTTCGAACGAATCCTCTACCCGCAGTCCTAGAACCTTCCATGCCGACGCCATTAATATTCAGTTTCCTCCTTCCATTAACATTCGAAACATTAAGCTCCGGAAACTCCATCCTTCTTCAAGTTACTACACTGATTAACCTTCCAGTCTCCGGTTAAACTACATCCGATCAAAGAAATGGATGAACTCGAAGCGAAGACGAAGCCGGACGGCGTTCCGGCGTCTTCTTCCTCTACTTCTCCTTCGTCTTTGAGAACCGCTCCCCGGCCGATTGAAGGTCTACACGATGTCGGACCGCCTCCATTTCTGTCGAAGACCTTTGACATGGTGGAAGATCCTTTGACGGACTCCATTGTTTCGTGGAGTAAAGCTCGCAATAGCTTCATCGTTTGGGACTATCTCAAATTATCCACCACCTTGCTTCCTCGATACTTCAAACACTCTAATTTCTCTAGTTTCATTCGTCAGCTCAATACTTATGTAAGTTCTCTGTAAAATCAATTTCAATTTTGGTTTCTGTTGGCGTTCGATTTTGGAAACTGCTTTGTTTGGAACTTTTGATCTTTTCGTTCGTGGAAAATACAATCTCGGATCATCGTCTTTGTTTGGATGAAATTGTTTGAAATCTTGATGATATGGTCTTGTTGATGTTGTAATTCTTCAATGTAGGGTTTTCGAAACGTCGATCCCGATCGTTAGGATCGTCTTTCTTTCTATTTCTTTGTTTGGATGAAATTGTTTGAAATCTTGATTATCTGATCTCGTTGATGCTGTAATTCTTCAATGTAGGGTTTTCGAAAAGTCGATCCCGATCGTTGGGAGTTTGCGAATGAGGGGTTTCTTGGAGGACAGCGGAATCTATTAAAAACGATTAAGAGGAGGAGGCATTCGTCCCAAAGCTCTCAACAACAAGGAGGAACATGTGTGGAATTAGGGCAGTTTGGATTGGAAGGCGAACTTGAGAGGCTGAGAAGGGACAGAAGCTCGTTAATTGTGGAATTAGTAAGATTGAGACAACAACATCAAAGTTCAAGAGAGCAAGTAATGGCCATGGAGGATAGGCTACAGAAAGCAGAGAGTAAACAGAAGCAGATCATGACATTCCTCAGCAAAGCCCTAAAGAATCCGTCCTTCATTCAGAAATTAATCCATAGTAATCAGATAAGAGAACTGACAAGCGTTGGAATCGGTCGAAAGCGAAGACTAACTGCTAGCCCAAGTCTAGAGAATCTCCAGGATGAGACCATACTAGCAGCTGTTAAACAAGAACAGCTAGAAACTCCGGAGCCTGATATGGAATCGCTGTTAACAGCCAATTTTGAAGATGAGTCAAGCAGTGAGATCAAGGATGTTGGTCACTCAATTCATGAGGAAATATTGGATGAACTTTGGAATGAAGATTTTATGGCTGAAAATCCAGAGGAGGAAGGCGTAATGGTTGGTGATCAATCAGAAATCGATGTGGAAGTGGAGGATTTGATTGCTGAACCTCCTGATTGGACCGAGGACTTGGAGGAACTCGTTGATCAAATGGGGTTTCTTCAGCCCAAGCCGTAGATATAGCAATGTAGATAGTGAAATCAATGATTTGCTCCTCTTTGGTGTGGTATAGGTTTGAGGATGGGGGAGGTCGCAAAGGAGCCACTGATTGTTCTTGTTTCGCTTATATTTTTTTAAGAATCATCGGCTTATGGTTACTCTTTTCCTTCGTGGTTTTATTTGCAGGCATGTGCATAAAAGGACCTGCGAGATTATTCAGTCATTTGCTGATTTCTTTACCACTAAGAGTAACTATCCCATTGATTAATTGAGAATCAATTACTTCTTTTCATGTAAATTGTAGGAGTCTGCTGAAAACTTTGACTAAATTTCTTACCTCAAATTCGTTTAGGTTCTTGCCAATTTTTGTGGAAGATAGTTCCTGTTATCATAATTTAGGAAATATGGGTTCTGATAGAATCTATTTTTTATCTTGAAAAGCCTTTGATCCATGATTGAACTTAATAATATTAACCAACTTCAGTTATCATATATGTTCTTGAATTCTTTGACAATCTTTTAAGCTATCATTTATGAATTCAATTGCCTTATTGATACCCTTTTCTAACAGAAGAAGGAAGAATCACATGTTTATATTCTCAAGTGGAAGAAAGAAAATCTACATAGAGAACAAGGATGTACTTTCAAATCATTACGGGCAGAAAGAACAAAGATGAGTATCATTTACATGAAATGTTGAGCCAAGTAAGAGTGTTTGTTGTAGGGCTGCAGAGGCAGGAGCCTGAACCTTAGATGGTGGCTGCCACAGGCACCCTTGGGCTTGGGATCCCCATGTATGAGAGCCTGGGAGACATCCTAATCTTCGGGCTAGGCCGAGGCGAAGGTATCGGAACAGAGCTGCCGAAGAAACCCGGTGTGTGTCTTGGTGACAAGTTCACTTGCTCAAGTGCTCGTGCTTGCAACTCTGCTGGGTACTCCTTCACACATCCAATTCTGGGGCCAACTCCACTGCTCCATCTGCACAGCAAGCGCTTTGGTACATCTATCAATGGTGCCTCTATTCTGGTACCTGGGTTCTTTTGCTGCTCAAGTGTGCTAACCAACTTGACTGGTATTTCCAAATCGACATCCTCTACGACCATGTCTTCTGACAATGTTGCTGTTGATGTTTCTTTGACCACGTCTTTGTCGGAGTAGTTGTCGTCATCTACTGAACACCTCTGTGTAATTAGGAAGAAACGGTTAGAAATCACGACGCTCTACAATTGTATGATATTGTCCACTTTGAGCATAAACTCAAATGGCTTTACTTTAGACTTCCCAAAAGGCTCATTTCAATGGAGATATATTTCTTACTTATAAACCCAAGATCATTCCCTAAATTAGTTCATGTGGGATTTCCTCCCAACAATCCTCCCTTCAAACAAAATAATACTACAAAGTCTTTCCTGAGGCCTATGGAGCCCTCAAACAACCTCTCATTAATTGAGGCTCGACTCCTCTAGAATCATCAAACAAAGTATACCCTTTGTTTGACACTTGAATCACTTTTTGCCTACGCTTTCGAGACTCAAAACTTTTTTATTCGACATTTGAGGATTCTATTGACGTGACTAAGTTAATGGCATGACTTTGATACCGTGTTAGGAACTACAACTCTCCACAAGGCTGAAAAGAAGCCGCGGCAAGTGGCTATTTACCTTAACGTTGGTCAAGTCTACTGAGTGTTCTTCAAGGAAATTGATGAACTCCTTGAAATTGTTCTCTGTTGGAAGGTAATGTCCACTGTATGGCCATATAGCCTAAGGAAGATTCAAATAGAAACATCACCCACTGAAAATGAGATAATCCAGAACAATATTCAAGCATTGTAGTACACACCTTAAGAACACCATCGACGGCAACCAATCGCCCGGCCGCTGTTATAGCCCCTCCAGACAGGAAGCTGGAGTGCTGAAAGCGGCCTTTCTTCTTCAGCCCCACAAACAAATCTCTAGTGGTACTGAGTACAAAAATCAACTTGGAATCTTCAACTGTATTGATGGGCATTCTGCTTTGCTTGTAAATAAGCTTCCCATCCTCCACAACCACCAGGTACTCCTCCCTCTCTTTCTGCAACATAAATGAACATAAAAAGACTTGCTTAATGCTTGCAATGGAATGGAAACTGCTACATGATCAGGCCAGTGAGAGTGGGACTTACTGGTCCAAGATACTGTATGCATTGCTTGTATAGAACTGATCTACGGCACTTCTCAAGATTTACCTTTTTCCCATCACCAATATCTAACCTTTTAAAAGAAGCATCTAAGGATTAGAATGAGGAGGATTTAGTCATGTAATGATGCCTGTAGTCGAAGAGGCAAATTACCAGTAAAAGAAAGGTTGTGTGCTCTTGCTGTCAAACCAAATATCATAGTAAAAATGCAAGTTGTGTCCATAGCGGTGCCGGGGATCAATCTGCCCATAAGTTCAATAGAGCTATGTCAACATGCTGCTAGCTAAGCTTTCAAGTTTCATTCATGAACTTTGTCGAATCAATGACTGTGTCGAGTTTGAGATGTTTGGTGATGGTATGAAGTTTTGTTACTAAGCATTGAATTTATATCTTTGGAAAAACTGTTGAGGATTGGGTGGGAGTCCACATCGGCTAATTTAGGGAATAATCATGGGTTGGTATAAGGCCTCTTGGAAAAGCCCAAAGTAAAGTCATGGGAGATTAAATGGATAATATCACACCATTGTAGAGAGTCGTAGTTTTAACATGGTATTAGAGTCGTGCTCTTATGTCAATAGAATTTTGAAGTGTCCAACAAAGGAATTGCTAACCTCTTAGTCAAAAGTGACTCGTGTCGAACAAAAGGTGTACTTTGTTTGAGGACTCTAGAGAAAATAGTCGAGTCTCGATCAAGAGGAGACTGTTCGAGGGCTATATGGACAATATATGGATATCCATGATTTATAACAAAAACAGCTTATCTAGAATGATTGGTATCTAAAAAGATTGTTTCTCTTGCAGATTACTCAAATACCACTTTCAGCCTCAGATGACAACGTGGAAGATTCAACAAAAAAAAAACTTGGAATCACATGAACTTACTGCTTCAAGCCAGTGTTGTAGAGCTAGTTTTTGAGCATTCTCATCCTTCGATAAGCCTTTCCCGACCTAAACAAGGTACAACATCATCAATGCCCTAATTCCCACCAAGAAACAAAAGCCACAATCATACCAAAAATCTACCTTTGCAGCTCGTGTCCTCGCCCGGGACCAGCGTGATGTAGCGGTTTGTGTCTTTTCGACATCGAAAAATGACACAGAGCTTACCTTGAGAGCCGCGAAGTCCAAAGCTTTCCACCTTCAAAGTTTAATGAACAGTGAGAAACAAAACACTGAATTTCTGTAAGCCATAAACTGAAAAGAGAAATAGAATTGTTTCACACCATAGCTCCTCAACCACCACTGCACAATCTGCCAGGTTCCTTCTGGTTCTGTAACTCTTATAGACCTTTTGTAGCTTAGTTGCTGCAGAATCCAGCTCACTGACTGGCTTAGTAATGGAAGAAGATATAACGACCGGCTTGGGAAGTGAAATTCTGGGTTTTCTCTGATTCTCTGGCTGTCGAATTTTTCTCCCAGATGAAGGAAAACTCCTCTGGTCAACGACCATATTGTTGGAAGAATTAGAAACTTGTTTTAGTTGCAGATTCTGTAATGTTGGTGGTTTTTCTGCTCTGATTCTGCTACCACTTCCCTCTTCCTCTTTCAAGCTAGATTCCTTGACATTCATCTCTCCACCCTGGCAAAAGGGTTTGATTTTGCTGCTTAAAACAGGAAACAAAGAACCCAGAGGGATTTCAACCTTAAATGCTCCAAAAGAATGAGTTTCTGACCTGAAATCCTCAAAAGGGTTTCGATGTTCTGTGTTGAGCTCCAATGGAAGATGAAGGAAGCCTTCTATTGATGTATTTAATGGAAACCTTGGGGGTGTTCTTTAATGGCGCTGACGTTTTCTGGGTCAGCAGTCGCTATCATCAAACTGGGGATTGTGGACTGAGACAAAAAGTCTTGCATTGATCTAATTTACAGGACGTTGGTTTATAAAAAAAGGTAAATTTCCCAAGTTGTTGTTTATAATAATAATATCCGACAGGAAAGCCAGATATGGAAGGTTTGCAGTGCATGGCGGCGTCTGCTAGAGCTGCAGCTGCCAGCCATTGTTGAAGATGAAGGTCAGTTTTAAATTCTAAGCTGTCTGCCTGCTTCAGAAGGCAGTTGAGAGTCCATAAAATCATTTTGTTCTGGACTCACCTACCCACAATATTTATCACCGGCTGCCATTATTGAATTTGTTTTTTTGTTTTAAAAAAATTATGCATCTTTCAATCTCTTATGTCTAATTGGATGGAAATTTTATTAAATATTTTGTATTTTGTGTTCTATAAATGGAAAATTATGAATTTTAAAATTAAGGAATTCAAATAAAAGCAGCTAAGGGAAAGTTTCCACACCCCTAGGGAAAGGTTTCCACACCCCTAGGGAAAGGTTTCCACACCCCTAGGGAAAGGTTTCCACACCCCTCACCGGGAAAGGTTTCCACACCCCTCACCAGTTTACAAACTCTTATAAATGGTGTTTTGTTCTCCTCCACCCGTTATAAAAGGAAAAAAAACCACTAAGGCAGAGAGGGGAAGGCAAGGATTAGCCAACAAATAAGTTCTCACTTTCTCTACTATTTCCACCTTCACCACAAATGTAACTATCATTGTGACTACAACTTAAAAAGTATCTATCAATTCATATTTGAGACCAAAGATAACCAAAGATAACTGTAAATGCATCTATTAATGTGATTATTCCAACTATATTTAATATCATACATGTAACGATCATAGTCGGAATCATCACTCTTAGATACATTACTTTTACAAGTAGAGTTCCGAAAACTAAAACTTTCTAGTTTAGGGCATCACAAACATAGAGAGAATTAGGAAGCATGTGTTGTTATAGATTCAAACCAGTGTTAGATCACAAACAGATACTTCATAAAGATGTAAGATTGAGTAGCAGTTCAAACGAGGCATATTTTAGAGAGAGCGTCGCGTTGGAGCGTGGTAGGTTTATGCAGCAGAAGATATCGACTGTGTCTTCTGACGGGGTGGGATTCGGAGCCATAGCTTCAAGCTATCATATGCAGCAAACCCAATGGCTACAGAAGGAACAATCTGCATAATTGACAAAATGGAAGAGAACTTAGCATGAACAACACACTTCAACCGTTTCAATCTCAACTGTTACCTTAATATAATTAATGCTGAGTCCTGCAAACAACTGCCTCCATCCTTGGTTACGAACAATCATCCTAAGCCTTTCTCTTGAGTTCCCATATCTGACTTCACCATTTAGTGAAGATGGCATATCTCCAACCTGCACATAACAAATCAATACGTTACAACCCCATTGAATATAACCAACGAAGAAGGAACCATTCGTTCGTAGTTAGAACTAACATTATAACCGTGGATGTGGGAATTGGAGAACTCTAGGGAAGGGTAGAGATTTTTATGCAAAAATCCTTCACAATACGTGCTTGTCAAACTAATTTTGCCCTTTATTGTTCCTCTTCTTGTAATAGAGGATGCAATTCAAACCAAAAGAATCACTTCCAACAATCTGTCTGATTCGGCTTGGAAAGTAGTCTTTCATAAGCAATAGCGTAGGTTTTCACCCCACTTTTTGGGCAGGTTCGCGAGTCAATATTTTTGCCCGCACCAACCGGCAGCAGCTGGGTTTCCCCAAAATCAAAAGCAAAATGGTCTGCCTCCCGGATCTTGTCGAGCAATTCAACTTAGCAAGAAATCTGGTGTCACCAAATAAGGACCGGTCCAAGTTTTGGACTATTATTTGTTGGTCGGTTTGATTTTCAATGGTATAAAATTGAGAACTAATCGATTGCAGTATGGATAGACTGGCAGTTCCTTTGTTTTAGTTGGTTCTGTCGGTTTGGATTGGTTCAGTTCGGTTTTCAAGGAATTTGGTTTCAGCAACAATGAGATTAAAACCCAAACAAAAGTGTTAGAAAATGATGAAGAACAATACCTGCATTTGTCTTCTAACAACATCCAGTGGATAAGTAACCGTCTGCCCCAACAATCCAGCCAGAGCTCCACAGGAAAGCCGCATTACAATAGATTTCTGATGCTCCTCGGGAACGTGACTTTTAAGTTCTTCATAAACGTAGAACTTTAAGCCAGCATATGGAAGGATTCCAGTCAGTGTTGGACCTATTCAAACATGAAAAACATGTTTGATCAGTGTCCATATAAAATAAACAAGTTAACTTAGTTCAGGATACAAAAAATCATGTAAAGATCAACTAAAAACAATGACGAAAAGAGAAGACAATCAAGACACACCTACACCACGATATAGTGCACGTACTCCACCACCGCTATAAACACGCATTAGAACATCCCTGATGCCATTGTACATAGGTTGAGTATGATAACTTCTAAAACCACCGCTCTTCACCATTCTTGTGTCACTAATCTGTATCCCAAGGTAACAAAACGGTTAGATGAACTTCCAAGCGCTTAAAACAGAATGAAACAGTTGAACAAGAAATCATTCATATCTTGAATATGTACGGTAAAAAATGGGACAAGAGGAAGAATATCAGTCTGTAAAATGATCGCAGATTAAAAAATGTACTTTTGAAGTTAATGTACATAATGAAATAGCTTTATAATATATACCTGGTAAGCTAGTTTTGTCCGTGCCAAGTCTAAGGGATACGTGCACAAAACAGCTGTTCCCCCAGCTACTGAACCAGCTAGAAGATCGATATGAGCCCCAGTTCCTAAGCCAGGATAGTTATTCAATATCCAACACCGATATTGCTCATACATCATGAAATGAAGAGCTGCATAAGGAATAATCCGAACAACACTAGCGCCATTTCCCCTAAAGCATAAAAAGTACAAAACTTATGTTCCAAGGACAGTAGTTTAGACAAAGAAAAGTTCTCACTATACAAAATTCTAAACTTACTTATAAAATCCACGCACACCTTCATGGTTCAGCACCTTCTTCAAAGATTGAAAGACTCCAAGAGATTGGAATCCTTCGGTTCTCGTCTGTCAATGTTCATAATACAGAATTCAGATTAAATGTTCAGTGAATATAGAACAATTGTATTGATATTGATGTTGTAGTTTAAATGTTTCCATCATAAGCCACCTACTTCTCTTATTCTCCCAAATGAATAAGCTCATTGACTTAAAAAAAAAGTGATTGTACTTCTTGCACCAACAGATACGAGACAGCTCCAAGGACGGTCTAGTGGTAAGGGCTTAGTACATTGGGAGATACTGTAACGAAACCTTGAGAGGAAGCCCAAAAGGGAAATTCCAAAGAAGACAATATCTACTAGCGGTGGAAACATTACAGGTACACTCCAAGTCCATGGTTTAAGACTCAAATTGAAAACTCAATATCTAAAGATCCTTAATGTCTGAATCGGCCTGGCCTTGAGAATGACAAAACCCTCTTGGGATTGGAAGGCGACCGCGAGCATAATGAAACAGTGGTTCCTCATTCTCTAAACCAATCCCAATTGCTATCAACATTTAATCCTACAGTCTTGTAAGGATTTCATGCATATGGGTAAACAAAATTAACAATAACAAAGTTAAATAAAGTTAGTCTCTAAAGAAACCACCTAGAAAGTCACCTGCAAGAGTATCTTAATTCGTTCCAAGGGTGCAACAGCAGTCTTAGCAAAGCCACCAGCAGCACCACCAGCTATCAGCTCTTTAACATAAACAGGTAGACCATCAATGAACGAGACTTCTCTTTTCACAGACGAACCATCTACAAACCCAGCAACATTTGCTGACAAAGTAGACCCTTGAGACGAATTCATCTTGGATAATCGAAAAACCTTACCAACTGCTCAAACCAAAACAACTTTAAAACCAATCTCACACGAAATCGATATTATCCACTCTGCAGCTTGAAGAATTCTTTATCCCATCTATCTCTCTGAACACAATGTGAGAAGATCTTCCTCTTAACAGACAGACAAGGCGGCCTGAGAATACCCAGAAAGGATTTGGGCAAATTCACAAGCCGATCTTCTTCTTGAATGACGACAAGATACATCCACAGGAACAATTAAGCTTAGCCTGCAGACGAAATATATTCCAAACCCTTCAATTATAACAAAGCCCCCATCAATCTATCAAAGTGATACCGATCCCCCATCAGTATTTGATCACCGTAATATTAAATAACAACTCAAACACAACAAATCCCATCAAAACAAGTATCCGCTTCAACCTCCAATTCAGATTTCGATGAAATCAAAACCCCAATTCCAAGAGAGAGTTCGAAATCGAAAACTACAAAATACCTAATCCCCAAAGAACCTATCTAAACAAGGAAATTCATCGAAAATAGAGAATCAAACAAAAGATAAAGAAAAGAAAAAAACGTACTCGTGATTTAACGGAGTGGAGACGGGAGAGAGGCAGTAGAAATCGCAGTTTGTTGTCGAAAGCTTAGTGAAAAAGACATAAAACGAAACCGTTCTCGACAACCGCGATGGAAAGGGAATCTTTCCTCGCGGAACCGCCGGATCCCCCGTCTACTCCGTCGTGGGCCTCCCTCTCCTCTCCTCTCCGCTCCTCTGAAATCTGGATTGGTTTGTTCTTTCAAGGCGCTTCTAATGGGATTTTAAAATTGTGATTTTTTCTCTTGTCTTTCATCTTCCATTTCGGAAACGTGATGCGTTGGAGAATCAGGTACAATCAACCTTTCGGTCGATTCACCAATAAGAATTCTCCACGTGGCTTCCAGTCCACCGTTGACCGAATCAAACGGAGCTGATTATGGTTCATGTATGTGGCCGGCTTTATAGAATAAATATTGTTTTATTAAATCCTTTTTAAAATTAAAAAAAAAAGTATTTTTTAAATAATAGGATTCTTGGATTTATTTATTTATTTATTTATTTTATTTTATTTATTTAAAATAGTGTTTATTAAAATTCCATTTGAAATTATTTAGATCAAGTAGGGTAATTATTTCAATAACTTTCACATTTTCGTATTTAATTATAATTTATTAAAGATAATTATTTAAATGGCATCTGATTTTGTATAATCAAAATTGTTTGATAAAGTTTTAAGAAAAAATAATTATTAGATAAAATTGAATAAATTAAATTTTTAGGAGATTTCATTTATTAATGTAATAATAGATAAATATAATTTTTTTAAATAATTAAAAAAAAAACAACCAGACAATCCAATTTAGATTGGGTTGAATTGTGAATTCTATTTTGGTTGTTCAAGTCACAAACCCAACCAACTCGAAATTTTGGATTAAGTCGAGTGAATCCCGAAAACCCACTAACACCATCTAAAATTCTTTATAATAACGACTCTATTTTCTACTTAAATAAAACTGCTACCACATACATAATGTACATTTTTATACGAAAACATTCATTTTAAATAGTTCATAAATAATGTCATAGACTTACACGTTAAAAATAAGATCCTTTAAGTCGATCCAAAAACATTTAAGAAACGAAAATAAACAATATGTTCAAAAGGTAGAAAACAACACATTGCCCTAATCTAACCTAAAACTAATAAATAAGATGAAATACAACTACTCTAAAGTCGGTTCCATGGTTCTTCACACGTCACATCTGTCATATTTACAGCAATGTCTTGCCTTTCCCTGAAATATAAGAGTAACATATAACTCGAGTATTTTAAGAAATAATCCATAAGTAACACATGCACAAATAGTGAGACCCATAATTTAAAACATCATTTCATTCCAGCCCCGGCTTGATTATGCATTTCATCAAATATGATGGAGAAGAAAGAATGAGTATAGTATGGCTCACACTCCCATCAATGGCTTCTTCCTTTTTGTGCCTCTATTTTGCTCCTAGGTCAGGCAGAGCTTCAGCATCAATGGCGGAACTTTGTCGAGAAATCGATATCGACATCGAGCTCGGAGATCTCGGATGATAAGCCGAAATCCTCTTCCCTTTTCCTTCATAAATAACCCCATCTTCTTCATCTGAAACTCTGCATTTCTCCCCTAATATTATCGTCTTCTTCCAAATCAATTCTTCCTCTTTCATCTTCTCTTTTCTCCTCTCTCCTCCTTCCTCCAAATCCTTCCTCGCCACCGAATGGCTCCTCGGAACTTCCATGTTCATGCCCGTCATATGCTTCAGCCTTCTCTCCGATGCCGATTTTGCAATTTGGCTCGGCGGGCTCGGACTCGCCACCTGCTGCATTTTTGGTGGCAGGGGAAGCTCTTTCATAAACTCCTCTGTTTCGCCGCCGTCGTCTCCTGAATCTCCAGCTGCTGGGGTTGCCCCCGCTGTTGATGAGGTTGTCGTTCGGGAACCGTTTATGTCCTGTTTCTTGTCGGCGGTTTTAGATGAAGCTTCGGAAGGCGACGGGCTTCGTCGGGATCGGACGCCGCATAACGCCGTGATCATGGCGATGGCTGTTACCATTCCAGCCGCCATAAGGGTTAGGGAAATTGCGGGATGAATTAACAGATTCTCATCTGTTGGAAAGCTTCCGACCATGACTAAAACATTTAAGAAACAGAGGAAAGACAAACCCAACATGTTCATGTTATCCGTTCATTTCCCACAAAAGCTCTGTTGTTTAATACTCTGTTTCTCTGTTTTTTGTGACACCCAAGTGGCAAAAACTGATGTTTTTCTGCACGGAATGGGATAATGTACGAGGAGGAGGAAGAAGAAAAAGAAGAGAAACAGAATGCTTGAATGCCGGAAAAAATGGCAGAAAAACAGAGGTGTATGAGCTTGAGCTTTACTGTAATGGAGGCTCTGTTCCATTTGTAGTAAATTTAATTTCTTTTGAAAGTTCTTTCTGGTTTGCTAAAAATAACTCAAATTTGATGACAGCCCATTTTTCCAAATGGGTGTTTTTAAATTTCATCTCTTTTCTACTCAGCCAATCTCATCCAACGGTCATAAATGTTGGCTTCGTGGACAGGATCGTTAGAGTGGATTACTCGAACAGCTCGTAGATAACATGATGTTGTAGTTCTGTCGACAAAGTGGTTACATTTTAGGAGTTATTTCAATTAGACGGAATGTAATTTACGGATTCGAAGTTATAACGAACAAATGAATGGTAGAAATTTTAGGTTATTTTTGTGTAATTGATGTTGGATGGAACTCATAACTCAAATTTATTATTAATTCTAAAATATACATTTTACTTACTAAATTTTATTTAATTTCATAATAATTATTTTTTATTATTTATTCTCCATCCCTTTGTAATTTTTCTAAATATATATTAAAATTGAATCAAATATTTAAAAATAAACAAATAGATATTTTCGATTGTTAAAAAATAAATTTTTGAATAAATAACTTGAATCATTCGAACTAATCCAAAGTCTTATGGTTGGATTGGATTAGGTTCATTATTTAATAAGGTTCGTTATTTAATAAGGTTTGTTCGTTATTTAACTCACGAACACTATTGGTGAATCAACCAAACCAAACTTGATGAGACAATAGAAATTGTCGCAATTTTTATTTGGCTCGGGTCAATCCGAGAGTTTTGTCTAATGAACTCGAAATCAAACTCAGACCAACTCGAAAAGTTAATCCAATCCAACCCAACCCAACAAATTGGGATGGTCCATGTTGTCGGATTGAATGTACACCCCTAATATGAATCGTAACCTCACTTTCATAAAATTATGAATTTTTAGATAAATTAATTCCTAAAATATGTGACTTTTAACTTTTAATTTTACAGATTTAATTCATAATCTCATCTCTTAATTATTATCTAAATACAAATTTAAGCTAATATAGTCAAAAAAAAAAAAAAAAAAAAAAAAAAAAAAAAAAAAAAAAAAAAAAAAAAAA